TGGTGCTGACAACACCAAGTCAAGGGTTAAGATCCCCTTACCGGTCATCCTTAAAAAATAATAATAATAAAAATAAAAATAAATAAATAAAAAGGATTGTCCGTTATGTACTCTAAAGATAAAAATATGGATAGAACAACGACGCTTGCTGTGAGTTAATGAAGAATTGCAGGGAGGATTCACACACAGTACGTGTTCAATAAATATTATTATTATTTTATTGTTAGATTAGAAAAGGAGTGGAGAGAGAAATGAAAGTGGTTGGGAAAGCATAAAAGTGCTCCGCAAATACTACCAAAGCCCTAGAATTGTAAGTAGAGTGAAGAATTTGGGGTTGCGGTTTGGTTACGGATCTGAGTTTCAAGGTTGCTGAATTCGCCCATATTTGGGCCTGAATTCTCACAATACAACAGAATAGGATGTAAGGGCTGAGATCATCTGGTACAATTTTGTACACATCGAAAATTCTTGCCTCCTGTCACTGTGCCCTGGCGAGGAACAACACCGCCGCCACCCAACCTCATCCAATCTGAGCCCCAGCTGTGTGACGCCACCGCCCCGACCCACACCCCCAAGCCTCGGGGAGCGCAGCCTCTAGTCCACAGCCCAGCACAAGCTCCAGCGGCGCCTGAGCAAGGGGGCGGGGCGGGGCGCGCGTGCGCGCTACGGGAGGGCGGGGCTAGTGCGCACGCAGCTTCAGCTCCTTACCCCGCCCTTGTTCTTCCCGGTTTCCCTGTCAGCCTGCGGGTACTGTCTGACGGCTGCTTCCGGTGGGAGCGCGGTGCAGGGCAAGCCGGTCTCAGCTCCTCGTCATGTCCTACGGTCCCCTAGACCTGTACCGGAACCCGGGGCCCTCCGGGTCCCAGCTCCGGGACTTCAACAGCATCATCCAGACATGCAGCGGCAACATCCAGCGGATCAGCCAAGCCAGTGAGCCGGGGAACCGAGATGCGGGGGTCGGGGGTCGGGGGCCGTCCTGGGGACAGGCCTGGGGAAGGCTGCCGGCACACGGAGCCCGGCCGGGGCTACGGCCAAGGCCACACCGGAGGCCGTCTCGGGCTCTCCAGTCTGGGGGCGGCGGGCCGCCATCCTCGAGTCTGTCAGGCCCTGGCTCCCCGAGGGTCCGGAGCCCCAGCTGAAAATTGAGTTTCTTTTCAGGAATTCTGCCTTCACGGTATTGGGGCCAAAACAGCACACCTGACAACCCGAGGGTGGGAGGGTGTGTGTGTGTCACTTGGAGAGCAGCGAGTGTGTTGACTTGGCGCAGTGGTCAGCCGAGTTTTTCCTGTCATTCGCCCTCTCCCCACCTACATTATTTTCCTCCTTGGCCAGCTTGGGTCGAGGGTTGTTTACTGATTTAGGCTTTGGGTTGACATTCTGCTCAGCCACTGGCTCCTCGGAAATCAGCAACTTTCAATTAAGGGAAGTGGAGAGTGCATGTGTTTGGGTGACTTAATACTGTCTTCCTGTAATGAATTCGTAAATCAGACACAATGACTGGTATTTGTGGGTGGGATAACTTCTGTTTTAATAAATAGAGTTCACCAAAAACATTTCAATTTACATTAGTTTGCTTTTTGTAGCAAAGAATTTGGGTATATTTTTGGATTTTAAGCAGATAAGGCTTTTGTTTTCCTTCCCAATTTAGCTATTCTTTTGAACAAATCTGGTATACGGAGAAGCTCAGGAACCTAGCTGCAACCACACAGGAAGTAAGACATGGTAGAGTTGGTGGTGGAATTCAGAATGTCATTGCTTGTCTTAAAACTCCCTCCTCACCAGTAGAGTCTGAGTGAATGTGTAGCTGAATGAGTCAAATATAGGCTGTTTCTTGTGCTTGAAAAATCATCTCAGAACCTTATAAACAGGAGGTCATCAGCAGTAACATTACTTGGAAAGAATGGTGATCACCCTTGTTGTTTATTATTGTTTTTGTGAGGTTGGCTGTAGTCTGTCAATAGGTAGAACTAGCGGGCCCTAAATTACAATTATATTCTATATTTTAAAGAATAATCTATCACTTTCTTTTAAATTTAAATGCATATTGTAGAATTTGAGAGGTCGAAAGTTTCTGATGGGAAGGGATTGAGACTGGGTGATTTGGAAGTGGAAAGAACTTATGTGGCTTGTTAAATTCAGAAATAAAAAAAATTAATATGCTCACTGGTTAGAAACCATAGTACTCTGTGTTCCAATTTCCTTTTGTGAGGGAGCTGTAATACAGGTTAGATCAAAAAATTCTGTTTCAAGGCTGAAACTTTCTTGTTGAGGCTAAACCTAATTTTAATGTCTATTTGTGAAATATTTATTCAACATATAATTGTTTGAGTATCAGGCTATGTAGTAAGTATAGGAATTGCATGTATCTTTCAATAGGGAGCCTGTGGAGTACATAAACATTCAAAATATAAAGTTGAAAGAGATCAGAGCCATAGAAGAGATATAAATAACATTATGTAGGTTTTCAGGGAAGAGAAAAACCTTTTTTGTGACCGGTAAGAGGATTGTAACCCTTGGCTTGGTGTCGCCCACACCGTGCTCAGCCAGTGAGTGCACCGGCCATCCCTATACAGGATCTGAACTCGCGGCCTCGGCGCTCCCAGCGCCGCACTCACCCGAGTGAGCCACGGGGTCGGCCCAAGAGAAACCATTTTCAATTGGGATGGATCAGGGGAGACATTAATGGCATTTGAGCTAGATCTGGAAAGATGGTGGAAAGGATATGAACCTTTGAAGGTAAAGAGGAGAAGAGAATTTCAAGAGGGAATAAAATGAACTGGTATGGTAGTAGAAAAGTATAGGGTATATACAGAAAAGGAGAGTAATTTAATTTGGCTAGAGTGGTGAACTCCAGAAAGTAGTGGAAAGTGGAAATTAGTGTTGGAAAGGTAAATTGGGGCCCAAAGATGAAGGATATTAAATACTAAGTTAAGGAGCTTGCATTTTATTCTTTCAAGAATGTGTAAACTAAATTAGAATGTGAGAGACTAGAATCAGAGACACCATTTAGGAACTGTGAAAATGAAAACGGGCTGGCTGTTTAGCTCAGTTGGCCAGAATGCAGTGTTATAACACCAGGGTCAAGGGTTCAGATCCCCATACCAGCCAGCCACCAAAAAAAAAAAAAAAAAAAAAAAAAATCTTTTGGGCTGGCCGGTTAGCTTAGATGGTTAGAGCACGGTGTTGTAACACCAACATCAAGAGTTCAGATCCCCTTACAGGCCAGCCAGCCAAAAAAAAAAATCTTCTTTTCTTTTTTTAAAGAAATGGGTTCTTGCGGGCTAGCCAATACAGGGCTCTGTAAAACTAACCCTACCAAATTTGTCAGTAAAAACAGTAATATCAACTTGATTGGATCATACCAACAGTCCATACAACATAGGTGAAAACCTTGGTAATAGTATTGGTAAGATTGGGCATTGGGCATTGGGCTCCAGGGAATCATTGGAGTCAACCATTAATAATATTAATAGCTAACATTTGAGTACATAGTGAGTGCCAGGTAGCATGAAAAGTGCTTTACATATATTTTCTTACTTAATTTTATCACAACCCTGTAAAGTAATTACCAGTATTATTAACATTTTATGGGTAAGGAAACAGACTGATAAAGGTTAAATAATTGACCAGCTAACAAACAGCAATACCTGAATTTCAAACCAGGTCTGTCTCTTACAACGAGCAATTTGCTGTTTTATAATTTTTAATTAATATTACAGTTCTGTAGCAGTTAACACTCCAAGTATACAAGTGACTTGTTTTTTCACTCTTCAGAGGACACTCTGGGGGAATACCTGAAGCTGTGGTGCTTTCTGTTCTTGTGGTATGTCCATCTCCCCTGCTAGGCTGTTAGCTCCTTTGAGACAGAGTACATGATTTATTCATCTTTATATTTCGAGTACTTATCTCAGTCCCAAGCATATGATAGATTCATTCATTGACTATGCAGCAAATATTCTTTGAGCACCTGCTATGTGCTGGGGATAGAGCAATGAACAAGAGACAGAATCCCTGCTCTGATAGTGTATGTGTGTGTTTATGTATGTGTATGTACATATACACACACATATAAATAATATCAAGTAATAATAAGTCCTATGAAGAAAAATAAAGCAGGATGCTATGGTTTGAATGTTCCCCCAAGCTCATGTTGGAACTTAAACACCAGTACGGTGGTGAAAGGTGGGGCCTTTAAGAGGTGATTGGATCACAAGGACTGTGCCCTCTGAGTGGATTGATCCATTCATGGAATAATGGGTTAATGGTTTACTGGGTTTTCATGGGCCTGGTTCTGATGGCTTTATAATGAGCGGGAGTGAGAAGGTTAGCTCTTACTCATACCATTCTCACCATGTGATCCCTGGTTGCTATGGGACCCTGTAGAGAGATCCCACCCAGAAGAAGGCTCTCACCAGATGGGCCCCCTGGACCATGGACTTCCTAGCCTCTGAAACTATAAGAAATAACTTTCATTTTAAAAATAAATTACCCATTTTCAGGTATTCTGTTATAAGCAACAGAAAACTAATACACAGGGTAAGTGGATAGAGAGTGAGGGGAGAAAAGAGTGGATGTGCTATTTTAGGTAAGTTCGTCAAGGAAGGCCTCTCTGAGGAGGTGATATTTGAGTGAGTAGACACCTCAGCGAAGTGAGGGAGAGACTTACGTGAGTAGCTAGAGAAAGCATTCTAGGCAGAGGGCAAGAGCAAAGCCCTTAGTGTGTTCAAAGAATAGCAAGGAGGCCAGTGTGGCTGGACTACAGTCAGAGAAGGGGAGTGGAGTAGGATAGGAGGTCAAGGAGGTAGTTAGGGATCAGATCCTATAGGGTCTCGGTGCATAATAAATTGTATTCAATTGATTTGAAAAAATGAGGCTTTTCTACCATTTTGGAACTCTTCCTGCCTCTTTCCCCTTGTACTATGTAGTATCTACCATATCCTATGACCTTAGGCAGTGTAAGTTGAAATCCTTTCCTTGGGATTGTTTAGTTAGGAATTGGGAATTTTAAATTGATAGGATAATGTTGCATCTCCCCACTTATCATGCTAGTGCCTCCCCCACACCTCTCCAAGACATTGCCAGCATACCCAAGTATATCCTTGGAATGTGAGCTCGTAGATGTATATCCTCACACCTATACAGCCCTGCAAGGACCTGTACTCATTGAAATAGCTATTCTTTTTTCTAAACTGTTCAACCACAGAGGTGGGTTTGGAATTGCTGAGCACATCAGTCTGAAATACAGCAGCCCACTGTGAGGCTATTATAGGTACAGCCAAGGTTGACTGCCCGGTACAAATGGTTGTTATCAGTATGTGTGGGGTACAGAGGAAGTGTACTTGACTCTACTTATTGTGAAAGGATGGATCTGGGCAAGTAGTGCTGAGGCAGATACAGGAAAAAACCTAACAGCCTAAAGTTAACTCTGAAGAGATTAAAGAATAGTATTTCTGTTCTTTTTGTTGCTAATTTATTGATATGATTTTGCTTACTAACAAAATAAGGAGTTGAATTTTTAAAACTGATTATCATGAAATCCGGTGGGTTCCTCTTTCAAAGTTATTTTCTTTTTTTTGTTGGCTGGCCGGTACAGGGATCTGAAACTCTTGATCTTAGTTTACAAAGTTATTTTCATATTTGCCTCTTTTTATTTCATTGCCATTCTCTTAAGTCTTCATTATCTCAGCATCTGTATTCCAACAGCATACTCTGAGGTCTCTGATTGCAGTTAGTTTACAAAGTTATTTTCATATTTGCCTCTTTTTATTTCATTGCCATTCTCTGAAGTCTTCATTATCTCAGCATCTGTATTCCAACAGCATACTCTGAGGTCTCTGATTGCAGTTCCTCTTGATACTGCTACCTGCAATACATCTAAAATCCTGTTTTCATTATACTGTTCACCTCTTCAAGAGCCTAATGTGGCTCTC